AGCACAAAACAGACATGGACCTGCTCGAGTGCATCCAGAGGAGGGTCAGGAAGATGCTCAGGGGGGAAAGGCTGAGGGTTGTTCAGCCTGGAGAAGAGAAGGCTCCACGGAGACCTTATATTTGCCTTCCAGTACTTAAAGGGGGCCTACAGGAAAGATGGGGAGGGACTCTTATCAGGGAGACAGGAAGGGTGGTGATAGGATGAGGGATAATGGTTTCAAACTGAAAGAGGGGAGATTTAGATGAGATATCAGGAGAAATTCTTCCCTGTGAGGGTGGTGAGGCACTGGCACAGGTTGCCCAGAGCAGCCGTGGCTGCCCACTCCCTGGCAGTGCTCAAGGCCAGGCTTGATTGGGCTGGGAGCAACCTGGTCTGGGGGGAGGTGTCCCTGCCCGTGGACTAGATGATCTTTAAGGTCCCTTCCAACCCAAAATGTTCTATGATTCTACAAAAAAAGAGTGATGGAATGGATCTCTGTGGATTTGAAACTGTTTGTCCAGTAATTAATGTTTTTTACCATCTTTGTTTTTAACTTTCCAGTAAATCTTTCCCATTATTTAATCGATGTGTTCCACAAAATCCTGAATGCTACTCCAAATATGCATCTGCTTTAATAAGTATGGTTAATGAAATGGATGTTTTTCACCGAATTCTGAGTGGAATATTGGCAGGAAGAGATACTGTGATAGGACTCAGTGTCCTTGCACTAGGTAAGTTTATAAATAAAAAGTGAATAATGATATTAAATTAAAATGTGAGGTTTCAAATGTTTCTATCACCTTTGTATTTTTAATTTTAGAGTGATCTTTTTCATATTTTCTGGGCAGAGTTGTTTTCAAGAAAGAGGGGTTGTGTTTTATCAGGAGGCGTTTAATAGACTGATGAAATGCAGCTCCATGAAATACCAGATTGTGTTCCTTCATATGATTATATACCTCATTTCAGGGGACTGTAAGAAATTGTTGATGAAAAAAAAAACTGGCATCAGCATAAGCATTTTAACTTAAATCTTATAAAAATATTATTGAAAAGCTAATAATTCCCAAGGTGAAGTATTTCAGTTGTAAGTTCATTATTAGTAAGTTGCAGGTATCTGTGTGTTTTAAATGTTAAACAGGTTGCCAGCTTTACTAAATGCTGTTGCTTTTGAGACCACTGTTTAAAAATAAAAGGCCAAATTCTGCAATAACCTTAAATTTATGTTTAAAGTAAGTAAGAGTTAAGTTAAATGGGTTGTAACACTCGTAATAAACTTACTTTGTTTGGTTTTCAGCCTTGTCTTTTATACTGGTTTTAACCTTCAGATTCATTCGGCCGCTTCTGGTCCATACTTTGATTGCACTGGTTGTGTTCGGGCTGTTGTGTAAGTATATTTACCTTTCATTATATGCTTAGTTAGATGGATCATCTCACTGAACTGAAGGAGAGGCAGCTGACCAAACACCTATCCTTTTTCTCCATGGCCATCCTCATAACCTTAAGCTTACCCGGCTGTTTCCAAGCTGAGCCCTGCTTGTCTGTCGGTGACAAGGTCTGGCTGTGCTGTGCCGGCTGCCGAGCATTGGGACAGTGATGATTTGTGGGGGTTTTATAGATGCCTGGAAACAACATTTCTTTTGGCAGATGGATGCAGTTATGAAAAAGCTGTTTCAAAGAAAGTTCAGAGAAGTTTTACATTGCCTGCTTTACAAAAGGAGAACTATAGGAATGGGCCAGCTAAAGCTTGTCATTCCATGAAAGTCAGTGTTGTATCTCCTTAGTGAAATTACACGCCTGAGTCTTAGAATAACTGCAAGAAACCCAAACATTCTGCTGTGGTTTTACCTCAGACTAACAGACCGTTATACAATTTTTTTCCGTGATCATTGATAACTGTGCCTCTTCGCTACACAACAGCATTCCAGAGTGGAGCTTGGGTTAGGCAGAGGGGCGAGAGACCCAGGAGGGAGGCGAGGCAGCGATCAGCCTGCCAGCGCAGTGTGCTGCAGCCCGGGGAGCGCTGCCCGTCTTCACGCAGCTCTTGTTTGCTTAGTTGTCTCAGGTGTTCTCTGGTGGCTCTATTATGACTACAGGAACGATCCCAGCACTGAATTGGAAACAGAAAAGGAAAACGTAAAATTTCTGCTTGGATACGCTGTCTTCTCAACAGTCGTTACCGTAAGTAGCATTTTACCCTGAGCAACGGCAGAGGCTGTAACTTGAAAACTTGAACTACAGCGGTTCTGCAACAGTAAAAATCGTTCCTCATTCCTTTCAAATTTGAAAAGGAGGATCAATTATAAGATCTGCTTACACGTATTTAAATAGCTTTATATCTTCGTTGCGAAATTTGTTTGTCAGCACAGGGCTCTGCCACACTGCAAACCTGTACAAACAGTGTTCGCTTTGGTGGTGTAGAAATGCAAGAGTTGTGTTCCCTCCCCAGTTCTTCTCTGCATCAGCTAAATGGGGAATCATGTTGAGTGAACAGAGGGGCACTGGCTCGGTATGAACGTGAGATCTGTGGATTCAGCCTACCTTGTCAGTAGGAGAAAGGGGTGGCAGCTCTTTTCGACAATGAAAGGGGTAGCGAAGCACAGGCAGCAATGTCTAGGCCTCAAGTTATGGGGTTAAATTCTGCTTTTGTCTCATTAATCCTGTTTTCCAAACGAAAATCTGAGTCTGTCTTGCAACTTTTAAAGTTATCTTTTCACTCCGATATTGCAATGTTAAAGGAGTCATTGCTCGATGTGAGTGTACAGACAGTTTGCATTTCACGAGACATTTGTCAAAATGATTATTCTTCTGTTTTCTTAAAGCAAGAGTAGGATCCATAGACTGGAATTCACCACATATGAACAGTCTGACAGTTTACAGTGGCAAATATAAATCATAGAATCATAAATATGTCACAGATGAGATTTTTTTCACGTCCTCTTTAAGTTATGACCTTTTTACCTCTGTTGATACTAAAGGGGTAAGAAAAAGTTCATTTGTGTGCATGTGTGTTCCAATACAACCGACTGTCGTTTGCAGAACTGGGGGAACATCCACTGCTGCAGGTTACACTTCTCTTCAGAGCCAGCGGCTTCTTTCTGGAGCAGGCAAGAAAACTAGTGAAGCACCTGCCACTGGTTGCATTTATTATTTTATAGATTCCAACCTCTCTTTTAATTGCTGTTCATCGTTCCTTGTCGTGTACAAAGAACTGGGGACATTCTGGGGTTTTTGACTCAGGGTTTTGGTGGTGGTGGTATTTTTTACTTTTTATTTAAATGAGGTTTCATTTCGTGTCTGCTTTGCTTCCATATATACACAGCTCCCAAGTTAGTTTGGTTGTGCTGCTGTCCTTTCTGCAGGAAAGGACTGGTCCTCCTACCATTGTGAACAGTGGCAAGCTGACCTGAGTAGGAAGAAAGTTTAAATGTTCATGACATACAGGGTACGTGAAAGCAACGTGTAACATTCGTTTGTGTTTGCTGTGAAGCGAAACAGACTGTTTCCATTCGGTGAATTACAGTTTTACAAATCCGATTTTTGTTTTTAAAAAAACAGTAGAAATTATTTCAGAAAACCAGATTTTAATCCACAGGCTCTTTGAGAATATAGGCAGTGTCTCAGAAGGCTTTTTCAGTGCACAGTAACTGTGTAAATTGCCTTGCTGTCATGTCTTGGTGAAATCTGTACCCCCCCCGATCCCACATTTGACAACTCTGATTCTTTTCTTAACGAAAAAACCCCGATAATTTGTCTTTTTATTTCCTGTAACAGGTTGTTGTGCTTTCCCTTATACTTGTACTACAAAAGAGGCTTCCGTTCACCATACAGCTCTTTCGAATTGTTGGCAAAATCATTGGCAGAATTCCTTTCCTCCTCTTCCAACCACTCTGGACCTTTCTGGTTCTCATTGTGTTCTGGGTATTTTGGGTTGCTGTACTACTTAGCTTAGGAACTGCGGGTAAGTATATGCTTTCCGTGTTTTTGGATGAATGCTATCTGTTTCCTAAGTTCACTTCTTAAATATGGGACCTCCTGGTGTTAGTGTACAAAATGTGGGCTAGCATTGTTACACAGCTGTGTTACTCTTCCCTTTTTTTGTTTATTTTTTTTTCCCCACTTGCTGGAGTCTTGAAGGTTGCCATAGTTCGGTGAGTCACAGCACTATAGAACAGAGAGTTTTTGCTCTTGTATGTGGGCTTTAGTTTTGCTCTTTCTTAATTATTTAATTTGTTAGTAGATTGTGGTAGATACAATGTATGTGTGATGTATTTAAATGCAGAAAGTAACAGGAGGGAGGAGACAGCTTTTAGCGCAGTTGTGAAATGAGAATGTTCATCTCCTCTGACTGTAAACAATGTCCAGTTGTCATGGAGACAGAAGGTTGTTTCTGGGCAGTAGTTCAGTGACAACTGCTATCGTTATTTAGGCTGATACAACAGTATTTGGATCAACAGTATTTGGGTTAATCCAGAGGTTCTTGCAGTTGTAGGGGAGGTGCTCTGTAGAAATAGTCGATCACTATGAAAGAGCTGCAAGAACAGATTTTGAGTATGGAAGTGGTGTTACTGAGGGACACACCACTGTAAGACCTGTCGCTGATTGAACTGGGATAATTTGGATGCTGTCCCTTGGCCCAGCATCACAGCATCCAAGGGAAGGGGAGGTTGTTCTTCCATGCAACATCACCCAAAGAAGGGAAGCTAAATTCTGTGCAGCTCCAGGGATAACCCCTCATGCAGACATCAGCCTTTGTAAATAGGAAGCGTTATGATTTGGGGGTTGGTTTTTTTACATTTTAAATTTCTAGGGCCACTGCTAGGGGTCAGCTGTTGTCCTTTGGTTTGGAGCTGATGCAGAATTGATGCCGATAGAGGCCGTTGTTTGTCATTCCCATATTTTTTCATGGGTTTTCTCTTTTCGGAAACTTGGCAGTGGTTTCTGTGTGGAAAACCAAATGCAGCTGAACTCTTCAAATGCTTGTGTGTTACCATTTTATCTTGTGTTTCCACCAGCCCTGGAGACAGTGGCTGCAGTAATTCCTCTGTACAGGCTTACAGATGCCTGCTAGGCCAGAAAAGCCTCCAGCCTTTCTGTAGCTGAGCTCATTTGGCAAAACTGGAATTATTCCCCACCTCCGTGGGTCAGGTACCTCACTCCTCTTCCATCGCCACTGCTTCCATCTCAGTCTCACCCTGTTATACTCTGGCTCTGTATAAGACCCACTTCACTTGTAACATGACAGTCCGTCTGTCTGAGTCCGTGCTGGGGTTGCAAATCACTCGCCCGTTGCTTAGGCTAGACTGGGATCTGTTTCCCACCAGCTTTCACTGGAGAGTCCTGCAGGTTTGCAAAGGTCTCTCTGTTTCTGCTGCCTTTCCCCCAGTAGCTCAGGTCTGTCAGAAGTGGCTGCTTGAAGCACTTGTCTGGCTGATCACCTGCTTCTCCTGCAAAGGGGTCAGACCTAGCAAGGCCAAATGTCCAGCCTGCAGTCTCTTTGTGAGTTGTTCCTGGCTGACTAAACAGTCAAGTGGATTCACTTTGCTTTAGGTGTCATGAATATTCCTTCTCCACACTCCTCTGAGTTGGATTTTCCCTTTACAGAGGCAGCACTACGTGCTAGACACAGCTTTGTGTGGTGGTTAGCTTTTCTGCAGAATCTTCATCCCATTTAGCAGCCAGGCAGCAGTAATTGCCAAACTGGCCTTGTGGGATACCTTATCACTGGTTCAGACCAGTCCTTTGTAGAGAAAAGCATCTCCTGACCTATCAGCCAGCTGTTCATTTCATGCACCTGCTTGGATCAGATGCAATTTAAGATAAATATTAACTGTAGTAAATCTAGTAGCAGGTAAATAAAATTAATCATAACACACAGATTTGCTAAATAGATAATTAACAATAACTATTGGAGGAAGTATTACATCCTTGTTAAGCTGAGCTGGCCCATTACCCACAGGAAAATTGACTGGTACTCTTAATATGCACACATAAGGATGTGAAGCTCGCCCTTGTTAAATCTAAATTTAGAAAACGCCAGCTGAGTCTGTTGTATTCAAAAGCTTTTGGAAATGCAGCAATCATTAGAAGAGTAGGAATATATTAGCTCATGCGACAGAAACGGCTTGATGATAAGTGCAGGATGGGGAGCTGCTCGGGTATTTCCTGGATGCTTTTATAGACTTTGCAGGAAAGTAGTGACTTGCACATTATATCTGAAAGCAAATTCCACATGTATTCACAGGGAAATAAAACACAATGAAAACTGCCTTTGAGAGGCTTTTTATGCTTTCTCCGTGCTGTACCATTGGTTATATTCTCTGTTTCCTGCTACACATTTCCATTCAGGTTTTTTTTTTTTTTACCCCTCCGCCTGCTTGGAGAGTAGGATCCGAACAGTTTATGGCCTGCTGTTACATTCATAGCGCGGCACACGTCTCCTGGTGGTTTTTGTCTTCTCCCTAACGTAATAGGAATGCTGCTGTTTCCAGCCAGTGATACAAACAGTACAGTACAGTACAGAAGGCGGCAGAATCTTGCTGCACGGTAGAGTGATGTTAAAGTTTCTAGGACGCTCTCAGTTTTGAAAGAACTGACTTTTTGCAGATTCAGCAGAAGAAGGGAAGGTCATTTCCTGGCACTTAGCTGCCAATATATTGCTCACGTGAGGAATCAAGTAAAACATATGTTTTGACTGAGGTCGTCTGCCAGGATATTTTTAGTCTAGGTGTCAATCCGTGTAAGATTTTTCTGTTAACAGTTAGCGTGTTGCTATTTAGAAGAGAAGGTGCATTTGATAAATAATCCAAACCAATTCTGAGTTGCAGCCTAAGCGTGAGCGCGGGTAGAAAAATGCCACTATGTATTTGATGATTTTTCTGGTTAAAACTCGATTCTATTAATTTTATCATTTGTATTTGTAATTATTCTTTTTCTTAAGCCATCTGTGTTAAATGGTGGTTGTTGCTGCCCAACAGGTGTAAACTGAGTTCTTAGCAAAGTCCAGGGACTGAGGTGTTTATGGAAATAACATGTGAATGACCTGCAGCAGTGTCAGTGCCCGCTAGGTGCCGATAAAGTAGTGTGAGAAAGTGTCTTCTGAATCTGCTCGGTTGTTTACAGCTGCTGTGATTGCAGAGTAACTCCTCCTGAGAGGAGTTCGGAGACAACAAAGGCAATTTTAGCCGTTTAATGATATGGGGAGGTAGTGAAGCTATCCAGCTGTCAGGTTGAGGAGATTTGTCGAGGTGACACAGGAGGTTGGTGTCAGCAAGAAGCGTGATAGTTGTTTGGATTTCCAGTCCCATACTCTACCTCAGATTTGTTTTGTTGTTCAAAACTTGGACAAATGAACAGTAGACTAGATTTGGTATTGAGAATATTCCTTTAGATTGTATTTCAAATTTTCAGCCCAGATGTGAGTCCTGGGAAATGCTGCCTGTTAAAGCAACTCACAGTAAGGTGGCTCATTTTGCTCTTCTAGGTTGACCAGTACTTACACATAAGTACATATAGTACTGTATGGTGATTAATGCATTGGCAGAACAGCTTTGTGTTTTCTACTAATTTTCTACAATGGCCCTGTAAATGGAAGACATTTCTTTTGATTTTGAGTTTTGGGGACTTTTTGCAGCAGCTGAGAGAACTTCTCTGATCTCCCAAGATACGCTCTCTCTGAGCAATTTGTTTTCTCTGTTGACAAATAGTCACCTATCCAGGATACAAGTGGTGATCGTCTTGTCTTTGACGCTTTGACTTTTTGTTCTCACAAATATATTTTTATGGGGCTATGCAGGCTATATTTTAAATACAATTCTACCAAGAAAGCTAAGAAAATGAAACATTTACAAAGTCTTTTGTCTAATACAGAGAGATGGACAAGTGAAATTGGCTTGCTGCTGTGCTGCACCTGTTCTTAACATTTTCCTTGAATCTTCACTAGTCATAAAATATTTACAGTGTCTCCGCATCTTACAGCCCTGGAGCGCTTGATCCTTGCTTCAGCTGTGGTGCACCTGATCATTATGCGACCACACAGGCACCTTATTTACGTCCCCTCCAAAAGTTAGTGTTACTCTGAGAAAAGCCTAACTTCTTGGGAGCTATAGAAAACTATAGCCCGCACTTGGAAAGGTACTTATGCACATGACTAACTTGAAACACATGGATAATCCTATTAAAATCAGTGGGACTACTTAGTATTTTGAGGTAGGCACCTGCTTAAGTACCTTGGTAATTCAGAATCTGTAAGAGCAGCGGCGACAGAGTGAATTCCAGACCTAGAAAACTAGGAGATATGCCAAGACTCCACAAGACTTGAGACAGCACAAACAGTGGCACCAGTTAGAACCATTAGCTGGCTAGGAATGGAATTCAGCTGTGCTTTGGAAAAGCTGATATGTCTTAGGGTTATTGAGTCTTATTGTTTGCTAATTTGTGCAGCATTTCACCGCAGAAGTGAAGAGGCCGTGTGGCACCGCAAAGCATGTCTTTCAGCTTCCCAGCGTGCGGGAGCTGTGAAATCCGCACGGTATAAGTACTGTGCGTGTAATGTAGGGTGAGAGGCGGTGTGGGATTTTCATGTAATGAAGGTGCATCCTACAGGCAACTGAGCAATAAAACTGCCACATAAAGCTGTGCAGTAGCAAAGCCAGCAATAAAAGTGTATTTCCTGCAGGGTCCTTGACATTCCAATTACAGTCAGCTAGCTTAGCTGTAAATACCACCACATGGAAAAAGCTAAATAAAATGACACAATAAATTCCGTTGCAGGAAGCATAAAGATTCAGTGTATGATGCCAGAACCTCTCTTCACTTTGCAGTGGGAGGGGCACATCATATTTTCATGTTGACAGGAACTGATAAACAGGCTCTCAGTATTTTCTGGTCAGTGGTTCTTTGTTTCTGATAAGGAAGTTGCTGAACTAGACTTCCCAGCAGTTTTCATGCCTTACAACAGCTTGCTGCTCCAGGCATCAGCGAAACCTCACAGCAGCAGTTGCCGAGAAAGAACATCTGACAGAAGTCTGAACGTACCAAAACGCAGCTAATGTGCGCGGTGACTTTGGTGTCACTGCACTGCTGTGCTGGCTGACGCACGTGACGGCACGGCGCTGGGCTGCAGAGTCAGGTGGAGAAACTCTTCTGAATTCCGCTGCAAACACTTGTCCTTGTTTGCTTTGTTAACAGCACTTCTTGTGAGGTCTCTGCAGCGGATCGATTTGTACTGGTCAGAGGTTTTCAGATTTGGTCATTCAGCTGTGGGGACTTCAGGTCTTTACTGACTTCTTCATGTTCCTGCTAAGAGCGTATAGTTCAACAGAAAGATTCATGATTATGTAGTTGGAGAAAAATATTCTGTTGACAAATTCAACCATATTTCAAATTCAACCATATTTCATTTTCTTCGTTGAGAAAGTTTAACTTGTGTGAACAGATACATCACAGTGGAGTGGTGAGGAAAATGGCCTGTACTTTTCTCAACAGGGTATCTAGGAGAGCTTTAAAGTTTATCTGTGCTACCAAGACTGACATACAAAAAATAGCATTGCGTGTAATTCTGTTGACAAAATTATGCATGCACAGTGGGCCCAGAAGACGGGGAATCAGTCAAGACACAGATGTTTACATTGGTGAACGGATTTCTGCGCAGGAACAAAACCAGTTTACCATACCTAGGCAGCAAAGTGATCAGCGATGAACTCACGGGTGGATGTGCCTGATTTCTGTGCAGCAGAGCACAGCACTGTGCCCATGCACATGCGTAAGGTTGGCCAGGAAAGACAAAGCCTTGGCTGTTGTTATTGCAGGTGGTTATTTCAGTAGGCTGGTAAAAAGCAAACAGAATTGGTTTACCATACATACACTTGTCAGTCTTCATGACAAAACTACAGAAGCAAAGCCTGAAATGTGCCTTTTTTGGAAAAGAAACGTCAGGTGGATTGTAGGGTGGAAAATGTCCTTAATTCTGCTACCAAATGGCATAACGTCTTTGCATAAAAACGGGGAGGTAGGAGACCTTCTTGTGTCTCATTGACCTACCATTTGCATAAGTTCTTTCAGAAAGGGGCTTAAGCTGTGGTTAATGAGCGTTGTGTGTGCTGCAGGAAAAGGGCAGTCTAGAGCCTCTGGAAGAAGTAAGGGGGGGTGAAAACTCCATTGAATTCAGAATGGTATAGTGCATAGCTTATTTTAATGTACCGAAGTAAATGAATCTGTCGTCAAAAATTCCCCTTAAAAAGAAAAAAGCTTTTGCATCCAAACTTAAAACTAGGGAGGCATGGGATGGGAAGGAATGGCTGAGAGTTTGTGAGATCTGAGTAACAGCTTTTTCACACCATCAAGTATCCTGCATTTCACAGGCTTAAAATACATTTGAATATAATGGAAGCAACAGTGTTTCTGTGAATGACCAGCCATACAGCACTGCAGAGAGCTTGCCTGTTTAGCTAAAATTGATAACCATTCAGAAGATAAAATATCTAGAATATCTGTGTTTCTGCACCCATACAATCCTTTCAAAACGCTTTAAAATCATTTTGCAGTGCTACTGTGGGGAAGATGAATACTTTTCATAATATAAAGACAAACAGACTTTGGTTCCAAGGACTTACAAAGCTTGTTTAAACCTGATGGTGTTGCTGAAAACAAATCTTTATTGTCTCTGCTTTTAGCTATTCTTGAGTATGAACTCTGTGGATATAGAAAAATAGGACAGAAATAAGTGAACCGTTTCATAGATAGCTTTGTACCTCGGGTAGTTTTGAACTTGAAGGCGGTGTGCTGTCCTGTGGGAGGACATAGAATCATAGAATCGTTTAGGTTGGAAAATACCTTTAAGATCATCGAGTCCAACCATAAACCTGACGCTGGCAAGTCCACCAAATGAATGCATGAAGTATTAAAGCTTAAGTTACAATGCTGTTCTAGCTGTAATAGACAATTCTATGTCTCCCTTTGTTGTTTCTTTCATGGAGTTAGAGTAAGAAGCTACTCACCTACAGAGATCATTTTATTCTGTGAACATATTTATCTTTAAGGATAGTAGACTTAAGGCTTGGTAAGCTAAAAAAATAGCAGGTTATGGACCCAGAGACCTCTCACTAGGAACAAATGCCGTTGGCTCCTGACTAGACTTCAGAGTCAAGTGGCATAAATAGGATTGCATAGAGAAAGGTCTGATTGCTGAGTTACCTGTTGTGAAAAGCCGTCTTTTGAGTATGGAATAAATTGTTTATTATTAACAGAAGCAGAGGCAATATTTTTGAGCTTGAATAAGTGAATTTGCCAATGTTCCTGAATACAGTAGTGACACTGGAGCATAAGATGTCTGCTGGGTTTTTTTTGTGCCTGTATTTTGCACAAAAATTGTGAAGTATAGAGAACAGAAAACTAGTTGCCATGCTTCTAATTAGTCATTAAGATAACAGTTTTGTTTTGTTGTGATAGTACGTTGTGCACCCTTAATAATTTTTCTTAATATTTTTTGCTTCTTGTAGAAAACATCTAAGGCATTCATAACTGACTATGAGTTTATTTCAAATTTGAATGAAGAAAATTAGGATTTCATTTACTTCTAAACCACTCAATTACTCAAATCTTTAGTAATGTTTTCTCAGAATTCTTTATTAATCCATAGCTGTCCTCTTGACTTCATTGGCAGCTGTGTCTCAGTCTCAATTTAAACCCAAGCTTTTGCATTTTGTAAGATTTTATTTTTCAAAATTCTGTTTGAATTACAACATTTTGGCGCTCTGACTTTGTTACAATGGATACAACTAAATAGCACCTGAATTAATATCTTTGTAATTTTATTGAAGAAAAGCTAAGAAAAAGGGTACAGAAGCACTTATATGTACTTTGGGGTTTTTCCCCTTGTTTGGTGTGTTATTATAATAATACAGTGGTGTAATCCCAACTCCAGGTACTGCCCAGACTACTTCGGGAGGACAAGTAGAATACAGAGCTCTGTCTGGAATTTGCTACATGGCATGGTATCATTTCGTTGGCCTTATCTGGACTAGTGAATTCATTCTTGCCTGTCAGCAAATGACGATTGCTGGGGCAGTGGTTACTTGTTATTTCAACAGGTGAGTGCAAAATTGCCCCCCCCCTCCCCCAATAGTTTTGGGCATTTTTCAGCTTTTACTTTCCATCTTTTCCTAGGCAAAATAGCCTCAAATAGAGTGCAATTTATGGCGCTATCTTGGAATCCAATTTAATATAAAATAATGTGGCTTGTTGCAAGTCTTGAGTAAGATTTTACAATGTGTGTGATATTAATGGGTCTTACCCCTGCCGCTGGAGTTACTGGGCCAAACTGAGCCTTGATCCAAGCCAACAGAGCTCAGTTGACTCTGGTGAAATTGCCATTCGAAAGGCACAGGCTGCATTTGACCCTTTTCCTGGAGCCTGCATTAGCTCCAAATGGAGATGCAATATATAGCTCCTCAGTAATTTCATGTATTCAGAGGCAGTTTGACCTCTTCCTTGGTGTTCATCCCTGCTCTGGGTTTGCATTTGTTCTGGCTGCATAAATGCATAGTCTGCTACTCTTTCTTTCGTTCTGTGCAGGTATTTTCAGTTGACTGAGAATGATTTAACACCACTGTTAAGAATTTAGAGATGTGTAAACAAACTGCCTTGAATTTTGTGTTGCCCTGAAATGTAAATTTGGAGGAAATGAGGAAAAATCCCTGCTTTTTATTATTTATACTGTTTTTCAGACTTATAATATTATAAAATGAAATGAAATCTGTTTCAGGGACTGGCATGGTGCTGCCCTCTCATTGCAGGGGAAGATTTAAATCTCACAATACATTGATTTTTTTGACAATGAAAAGAGTAGTATCCTGAAAACGTTTTTCCTCATAAGTATTTTATGAGCTCTCTCACCCTCATTGCTCTGTTCCTCCACACCCTGTGATGAGGTTTTCTGATCTGGCATTTTAAGGCATTTCTTCATTTTGTATTAGAGCAATATGGTGATAATCTCCATTTGCTGGAAGATTAGCCCTTGGGGAAGGTGATGTGGGACTGAATCAGGTTGCCTGGCAGGAGCGGGCCTGGGGACCCTGGAGCACTGGCTGCAGCCACCCAGGATGTTGGGCAGCTGGGAAGGGAGGCTTTGGGCTTCTCCAAAACCTAGGTGGCAGGTTGATGGTCTGTGGAATGTATCCCTGGGTGTTTCAGCTGCTGATGGAAAGGTCCTTCCAAATGGTCTGTTCCCCGCACCAGCAGAGACAGCAGCACAGGCCCTGCTGGCAGGAGCCACTCTGGAGGGATTTCCCTCTGCGGCCCACAGCGGCTCTGCTCCAGCCAAACCAGTAAAGCCAGAAGAGCTGGTAACAGCCAGTGCCCACCATCGTTTTAAGCAACGTTTTGTCGTCCCATCCAGAAATCCAAGGCTGGGCAGCATTTAAGGCATGTACCTGGAGCCTGTCTCTGCGAGGGTTCTCTGCACGGCCAAGAGCCGTGCCACTGAACCGGTGCTAGTAAAAGAGCAGACAAAACCTAAAATGCTGCTTTTCAAAAGGTTGAGATCTGTAGAGTGACAGTCTCACAGTACTACTTTACATGCCATGATAGGACCTGAAAAGGGAGGAACTTGCATTTCTTATGTCATCTCCTTTTTCCTGTTGAAGCTCTAAACACAACTTGCATGGCTGTGGTTCTGTGGGTAATGGGCTGCTCTTTTCTTCCAAGCAGGTTTACATACCTCAAGATTTAACAATTGATTCAGCTTTAGCACCCGAATGCTGAGGCACTAAGGGTTGCTTTAAACTTGCTTGAGAAAGCACAGGAAAGAAAAGCAGTTTCGCTGACTTACTGGGCTGTGCGCTGCGTTGCATTTTGGTCTGATACACCGTCGGAATCCCCAAGGCAAAGGCTCTGTCCGTGTCTACTTCACACAGAGCAGGGAAGCACCTGTAGAAGTGGCTGTGATGACATTTACTGCTCTGTCAGGGTCTTCCGCTTGCCAGCTGTTTTTTTTTACTGCTGCAGGAACTGGCCACAGAGTACAGAAGGTTCCTGCACCCAATTGTACCGAAGTCATTTTGTACATCTACTGGCGAGCCCTCCTCTTGCTTGCCGGGTGACATGTGCTGTGTTGAGAGAGTTGTGCTTGGAAGGGGCTTGCAGTTTTTCCGCGGTGATGATCCCTCTTCCTGGCCTTTAGGCTGTCAGCAGAGCTCTGCAGAGGCGCAGAGCAGTGCAGGACCGGGGTGAGGACGGTTAGCTGCCAGAGCAGCCACGCCATCCAGGGCAAGGGTTATCTCAAGCTGTTCCAGCAATTCTGAGCTTGTCTGCTGTGTGTTTTTTAATATATTCCCTGGGGCAGCATCATAAAGGCATGTCACAAGAGTTTGTTTATGATGCCTCACAGAGAGGCTTTCTTCTCTGCTTGTAAGTGCTCCGAGGAAATGGCACGGCCTTTCCCTGCGGAAATCGCCTTCCACAGCGCGCACAGCAACGTGCCACACGGCCAACAGCCGCCGTGGAGCTGCAAAGGGGGAGGGCGGGGGTCCTTTTAGCTGGAGTAGCTTTACAGGTGATATATGCTTGACCTGTAATGCCACCACTGAAAATGGATTTTGCCTTCTTTTCTTTCAGATGAAACATGAATACGTGAGAGATTTTATTAATTTAGTAAAGTAAATGGAACCTTTTTGCTTAATGATTACTTTTCAGGGCTTGTGAAAAGGGCTCCGTCTTTTAAAAAACCTTCTTTGTTACTATTGCTGTTTTACATGAGGGTTTATTTTCATCTTGGCGTGCTTGGGTGTTACGTGCATATTTACCTTTTCAGTGAGATGAGGCTTCTCCCCTCTCTGGGGTTAAAGGAAGGTATTAGGGTAACTTGACCAGTGTCACAGGCATCACTGTCCTTGTCCATGCTTGAGCTTATTCAGTAACTCCAGTGCATGTATGTCACTGCACAAGGTTGAAATTAAGGAAGAAGGTAAGCATTCGCAGGATTGGGGTTTTCCACCTGGCTCTGAGGTGTTCAGCACCACAACTGCCAATAGATTCAGTGAGAAGTGAAATACATACATCTCCCAGTAAGTCAAAAACCCAGGTTTATGGATTTGCACCAAAGTCATTGAGAGATGAACTAGGACCAAATGCTTAAAGGATTCCCCTTCCCTTTTCAAATACACCTGCAGTATTTATGAACATCCTTTACCCTGCTTACATACCTGATCTAACCCTTGTGAAAGAGCCATCAGCATGTGTGTAGTCAGGCCTGTCCCTTGTGGCTTTGAGAGCAGGTAAAAGGGCAGTTGGAAGTACATTCTGTGTGTTCTCTGTTAGTCTGATAGTGTCTCTTATTACAAATCTTCTAATTTATTGTATTTGTTTAAAAGCTGAGATTCATGTTTATTGAGGAGTATATGATTCATTCCTTAACACTTCTAAAGTGTTTTACACTAGATCTCTTTTTAGGCAGTCTTTGAATCAGATGAGGCAGGACTCAAGAGAACTATAAGCACAGCTCTGAAAAGAAGAACAGGTTTTTAAAGAAATGGCTTTTTTTTTTTTCCCCTTTCAAATGTCTATGTCTTTTGGGTGTGTCAAGATTGCATTTTTTCTTCACACACACAAAAAAGTGGTTTTAAAATGAAAGCTGAGATGCATGAGTGATCATTTGATTCGTGGAACGCAGAGTTAAGAAAGATATCGAGTGTCAGAGCTCACAAGAAAATAAAGGCTGTTGGCAGCACTGAAGAAAGAAAAATATTAAAAGATGATGTGGTATTGAGTAGAGGTTCACAGGATTTTGGAATAGTAGTGTTTTACGTAAACCTATGTGATACCATAAAGTAGGAATACCAAGAGGAAGAGCAAACTGTTACTCAGTCTTGTAACCAGTTCTGTCAGAGAGATTCCTCTTTTTTCCCCTGGCAGCTTGTGTGCCTGCAGCGGAGCCCACGTCCCCAGCATTCGCTGCACGGGAGGAACGGCCTCCAGAACTCTGTGCATGTGGCTGACTGGGTGCTTGTGCTGGAGCCATGTCAGGATCGCAGCCTTACAACGTACAAAGCTGGGTGAAACGTCATCCTTAAGGGTAGTTGGGTGTAGGTGGGCGATTGAACCATCTTGAGCTTGTTTAGAGTCCCAGGCGTCACCTGCTGTGGTTAGCTAGCTGCTTGCCTGTGCTTCCCACCCGGAGCCAGAATTACAAGGAAAATATCTGTTTTTTTTTCTGATCTGTTTGGAAGCAAAGCAGGAAACTTTGTCAGACCCCGTTGTTGCGAGAATTCCTTTGCTAGGAAAAGAAAGTGTGGAAAAGCATCCGAATGTGTTGAAATTTATCTAAACTAAACGTTGAATTTTGACATTCCTGATCATTAATCAGTCCCGTTAAAAATGTCAAAACCCTTCTTCATTTTTCTCTTCAGTAGCAAGTAGATTATTAACACAAGACTAAACTTTGTCCTTTTTGTGTTTCTTACCCTTGGTTAACATTCAACTTGCAGAAGCATAATCTTTTAAATTCTGAGATCTGACTAAGACTGTCATTGTAAGGTAGTGTATGAGAGAAAAGGAAACAATAGTACTATATGGATAGACTAACTCATCTATATTGCGATGTATGTGTTTCTAACTCAGAAACCTGATGACTGAAAAAAAAAACCCCACAACCTGCCTTATTCAGTATAAAATTCCACTGTTCCCCCAAGCTATTCCCCTAGTTGTAAGACCAAAAATAATAAATGCACCAACTGCTTTGCTGGAATTTCCTATTTAAAATAATGTGGTATATTCACATATTTAAATACAACTTCTTGGCTGCACAGTATGTGGTGTTTTGAATGAACTGCAGTGATACCTTCAGGGTTCTTGCAGAACTGTGATACCTGTCTTGATATAGTGTGTATGACTTAGATCCCTGCTGAAGTGAGGGTTTAATAAAAGTATATTTATAGAGCTTTTTAGCCCCAAACAGTCACTCGCTTATCACTGCCTTGTTATTTTTTAGTATCCTGTGCACACTATTAGTTTTTTCAAGGTAACAGAGGTTTTGAAGGAATCACATATGAAAGCAAGACATCTTATTTGTGATATAAGGTCTGATCTTTTCTTAACTACTTTGTCAAGCTGCTGCTGATTCTGCTGCCTAAGCAAATTTCTCAGGGTTGGGCCAGTTGCTTAAGAGTTGCTTTATAGAAGGGCTGTGTATGACTGTGGATCAGTGGGGTTTTTGTAATCCTCTGAAACATTTTTTAAAGGTATTTATAGTGTTAATCTAATTGAATTTGGGGTTTTTTTTGCAGCATTTGAAGAGGGGTGGGAGAGTGGCTTTAAATTCGTTTCCTGTTTTTTATGTAAATTCTTGAGAGCTGTGTCATACTACTCTCTGTAAATGATTGACATTCAAACTGACCTTTATAACGGAACCAAGAAAGTCAAACTTGTATCTAGGCCAATTTTTTGTCTTTGCTTTTCAATTTTGGGAAACACATTATTTCTCCAAAACAGTACAGGTTAGTGTACAGTAGAATTACAGAGTTTTTTAGGCCAGATTATAATTCTAAAATACAGTGTGATACTCCTTTTTTGTGTATTCCATTTTAAAATAAACCCTGTTCAGTGAAAACAAAAAAAGTATTAATTATCTGAACAAAATTTAAGCGAATATTCGACTAAATTGCAACAATAAAAGTAGACAGTAGATCTCAATTCTGTGTGCGAGAGCTTGTGATGTTTTTTCTAGCTTTAATTTTACCACTAAAGCAGAAATAACAGATTAATTCCTTCAGACTAAAATCTTGCAGAAACAACAGTCACATAAAAGATTGCGGAGAAAAAGAGAAGCGACAGAAACTGGAGAGAGGTGTTCAAGGAAATATTCTCAGATGTTGTTCACTTACTTCTGGTATTTTCCATTGTAGGCTTTTTCTAGATATTTTTCCATTACTGAATACATCAAACCAGTCATTGCTTAAGAATTAAACTAATCCAATAAAAGTTATAAACTTGGCTGCTTTCCTTTGGACTAAGGTGAACATTCAGATGAAGTCAGTAGGAAAACTGGAGTTGTTCAAGTGGGAAAGGAGATACCAGCTTAGTTCTTTAAAGTTCCAAATACTGAAAAGATACAATGTATATCTTCTTAAATAAGTTTCTAAACATTCTCAAATTCTTTGTTTTTGCTTTTCTAGGAATAAAAATAGCCCACCACCTCACCCAGTCCTGTCTTCCATATCAGTTCTTTTTTGCTATCATCTAGGAACTGCTGTAAAAGGCTCATTTCTGATCACAATACTGAGAATACCAAGGATTGTTCTCTTGTACCTTTATAATATCCTGAAACAAAAGGTAGGTCTATACTTCTGTAACACTATAAAAATAGTAGTTGCTAGGTGAGATTCATGGAAAAAAGGTGAAGAATATACTTCTTGCTTAAAAATTAATGTTATGATGTGGATTATATATTTTATCCCATTTTGTTAGTTATGAAAGCGTTTTTTTCCTCTCAACTCAGACAGAAGCAGAAAACACCAACGTTAAAAACCACCTTTAATTGGTGTTTATATATAAAGATTTTTATGAAGGATAAAGGAAAAATTTGGCAGAATGCTCTATTTAATTTTTGCATCGTAAATTTTAAAAAGCAAAGGTAATTAAGAACATTATTGTTGCACATAAAATATCTTAGAGAAAACATTTCATCTGCCTTGTAGTACGAGTTTATAGAAAGAATGTATGAAATAACTATTCCAGAGGTTTGTGTAGGATCCAAACCACATCTTTTAAGATATATAAAAAACATAGCCGGGCTGTTTTGCTTGCCCCTTTTCTATCTTTCGTGCATCTCCACCTCTCTTATCTTCCGCTGGAAACATACCATTGCAGTTCTGGCAAGGAGAGGGGGCTGTCATGACTGCACCGCTCTGATTTTGGAGGAAGATTCAGGCAGTTTTTAAATGTAGGTCTTTCCCTCTAGAGTTTACCTTGGCCTTGAAGCATGTTGTGTATAGTGATGACAGGGTATTTACATTGACCATCCCTGGTACCTGTGAGGCGTGTGTGTGGGGTGTAGTTTGTGAGTGCTTAAATAAAAGCCCCTTGTAATAAGATACTTGAAAGACACGTGCCTGGGTTTATGCCACTTCGTGTGAAAGCCTTGGTTATAAAACTTGGTGAGTTGGGTCAACTGAGAACTTTGTTTAAAGGTGGTCGGTGGGATGAGCTGCGCTAGACGGAAGATGAGAGTATTTTCTGCCTCTAGAGGAAGCAGAATAAGTGCCTTGTTGGGTACGTGGTTTCGTAATCTGAATAGCTGTAGAAGATTGAACTAGCAAAGAAAAATTATTTGGGTCTATAGCAGCGTGCTACAAGCTCCTTTTGGTCCAGTTGCCAAGTGTTCAGCTGAGGACATGACATGACCCATAGCTGTAACTGCTGCTAAAGAGGCTGGAGAGTGCTCAGGCCAGCTCCTCTCCCCAGTCCACAGCAAGATCCCCCCCTGCAAAGTAACCTCGCTCCTTCCCAGGGGAGGAAGGACAGGCTATGGCCCCTTTCCGTTGAGGCTCTTTCCACAGAGGGCCAGAGCGGTGGTACTGAAGGATGGAGAAGTGATGCTGCATTGTTGTAGAGCCCACCCAGGCTTTGCCACCCTTGCAAAAGTGCTGCTGTTTTCCGTGAACAGGGGGGAAAGTCAGGGATCTGCAGACTTGCAGGTAAATTCACAGATGTTTTCTACACAACAGCCTTTGAGCAGAATCAGAGAGGAGGTTGCAGTTGAAATCCCTTGCTCTAGGTTTTTAAGAAATTACTTACTGAGATTAATACAGTTTTACTAAAATAAATCTCTCCAGCAATACACGGCAAGATTAAAGTATTTCTCTGCTGTCAGGAGTTTGCATGTACAGTCGCCATTTTAAAGGAATTATTCCTGGAATATTTTCAAGAACTTTTTTTGGAAAAAAAGTTGGGAGGTTTGTGGTTTCTGCACGAACAATGGTAGTTGTGGGGACCTGGGGTTTTCATACAGTGAGTGGAAGATCTCTGCTTTCCAAAACAAAACAAAAACATTCTGACCTCTGGAAGAAGAAGGTTAAAAAGTCTCAATTATCACTGAACTGAACTTCCTCTGCTGAGAAAAACAGCCAGTTAAATTTGGAAGGCTACCACAACTACCAAGATGTCTCTTTCTTGTCTTGCTCGGTAAAATCTTTATATGATAAACAGTTCTGAGCTCGTGATGTGATGGGGGAGGGGAGGGGGG